CCCCAAAACCCCAAAACCCCAAAACCCCAAAACCCCTTCTGGAGTAAATGTAATTGAAAATAAGTAGTTATTAATAAATCAAAAATGGGTTGACTCATTTCAACTGAGTGAGAGTCTTTAGGCTCAAAGGGCAAGTCTTATGTAAAAGTCAATGTTAAAAAGCACATTGAAAGCCAGATTACCTCAGATATGACAGATATTAGTCTTAAGAGTTATCATAATCCACTTGAGAATTATGTGATAAGCCCAAAAGTGATCGGAGCAGGAGGGTTTGGGAAAGTTTTTCTTGCTCGTTCAGTCGATGATCCTACCCTCAAGTTTGCGATAAAGACTTTAAACAAGGGAAATAGTAAGATGCGGCTTGTTGATTTTCAGAAAGAAATAGGTTTCTTGAAGAAAATGGACCATAAGCATATTATTAAGTACTTTGAAGCCTTTCAGGACAAAAAATATGTCTATATTGTGACTGAGTATTGCCCTAATGGAGACCTATTTGACTATATCAAGAATGAAGTTGCTGAAAGAGGATCCTTCAAGGAGAATGAAGCTTGTAGGATAATGCGGAAATTACTCAAAACAGTGAATTACATGCACTCAATGAACATAGCTCATAGAGATATTAAACCAGAAAATATCATGCTTGGTGAAGATGGAAACCTAAAGCTAATAGATTTTGGAATATCGAAACAAATGGAAAATGAACTTTTCAGTGGAATTGTAGGCAGCTCCTTCTACATCGCTCCAGAGATGATAAAAGGAAAATATGACCTTAAGTGAGATATATGGTCTTGTGGAGTGATACTCTATGTCCTTCTCTGAGGCTATTTACCGTTTAATGGGCAAAATACTAACGATGTGTTAAAGAGCATTAAACAATGCCAAATCAAGTTCACCTATGAAGAATTTACTAATGTCAGTAAGGATGCCATTGACCTTGTCCAAAGGATGCTTGATCCTAATCCAGAAACTAGATATACTGCTCTCGAGTGTCTGAATCATTCTTGGTTTTCAAACAGGAAATCTCTCAAAGGATACTATGAAAATGCAAAAATCGGTCATGAAATTGTGAAGAATATCAAAGATTTCACAACAGGATCTATCCTCAAGAAAAGGGCAATAAATGTAAGTCTTGTGTTCATAAGTTATAGCTCCTCGTAAAATTCATGACATCGAGGGAAATCTCTAATTTAAACACTCTTTTTGAAACGATCGATACTGACAATTCAGGATTTATCGAGGCTGAGGAACTAGCTGAGGCGCTAAAGAAAGCTGATAAGAATTTTTCACAACAGGAAATTAATGAGATCTTCACTGAGGTTGACATTCAGGGAAACCATAAAATCAATTATAGCGAGTTTATTGCAGCCACTCTGAACGTTAAGGAAACTCTGACTGATGCTAAACTGGCGACACTGTTCAAAAGCTTCGATATTGATAACTCTGGTTTCATCACTTTGGAAAATCTGGAAGGTGCTTTTAGGAAATTTGGAAATAAAGTTAGTAAATCTGAACTTTCAAGAGTACTTGAACTCCATGATTTAGACAAGGATGGGAAGCTCTCCTTCTGTGAGTTCCAAAAATGATGTCTGACAGAGCAATAAGGCCGCTCTGTACTCAATTAATTAGTTGAAAACTTATAACATTCTTATGATTCAGCCATTTTGAAAAAAATTGGGGTTTTGGGGTTTTGGGGTTTTGGGGTTTTGGGGTTTTGGGGTTTTGGGG